ACATTATCATTACTACCTATATTTAGCAATATTTACTAAAGTCCGCCTCTTAACAATAAGAAAATCACTAATTAAAAGCTATCGAAGGGTAATATATTTTGTAACAGAGAACACTGGCAAAGATCAAAAACTAGAAATATTGCAATGAGTTTGAGTTTTTCCCCAACAAGCAAATCCATCTGGGTAAAGTTTCTTGTGTTTTTTAATATTCTGTCATAGTAAAAGCTAATATTCAATAAATACCTGCCAGATATTTTACAGGTACTGATTTATGTCTGAAAGTAGAAGAGCAAAATGGAGATAAAGCAGAGAAGGGGTGGGTAAAGGAGAACCAGGAATATGCTCATCTGCTCAGGGGCCATTACAAAATACCACTGACTGGGTGGCTTTGTCAACAGAAGTTTATTTTCTATAGTTCTGGGGGCTGGAAAGTCCAAGATGGAGTTCGGTGTCTGATGACAGTTTTCTTCTTGGCTTAAGGTGGCCAGCCACCTTCTGGCCTATCTTCAAATGGAGGAGAGAGAAGGCAGACTCTCTCTCACATAGGAGATTGGGCTAGATAATTTCTCAGATTCTTCCCAGATACAATTATAAAAAATAGTATTTTCACACAAGCATTGAAGTATAATTTTTTTCCAATAAAAACATTTGAGATACACACTCATTTTAATTAAACTGGACATAAAATTCTCACCCTGATTTTATGCTTGGGCTTTCTAAAGCCTAAATTCTTTAAACACTTTTCAAATGAAGTTAGAGCTCTAAAGGGTAATTATTACACATAATCAATCGAGTTTTTAAAAATATAGGTTAGCAGATGGTTTGTTATGAATTAGTCCTTTTAGAAACTCCATAAAATTACAACACTTTAGAGATGCAGTAGCTTTAAGGTCATTTTTGTCCAATTTTCACATTTTACACATAAGGAAACCAGGGTGCAGAAAGATTACATGCTTTATAGAAGTCCACGCACTAGCTTGGATTTCTACTGTGCCACTGTTCCTAATCTGTGGACAAGAGTCAATGGTAGACTGGTGAGAACATCAACACATCTATCTGTCTGATGATTTCTACAAAAGATGATTGCTAAAAGTTTCTAATTTTTTATTTTATTTAAGCAAAATTTTTTTCAATGTTTATTTATTTTTGAGAGAGAGAGAGAGAGAGAAAGAGAGCATGAGCAAGGGAGGGGCAGAGAGAGAGAGGGAGATACAGAATCTGAAGCAGACTCCAGGCTCTATGCTGTCAGCACAGAGCCAGATGCAGCGCTCAAACCCACGAACCGTGAGATCATGGCCTGGGCTGAAGTCAGACACTTAACCAATTGAGCCACGCAGGTGCCCCTAGAAGTTTCTAATTTTTATGCTTTTGTTTTCTAAGTAAAGGAAAATTTAAAGGTATATTAATTACTTGATGAGATCTGTGTTAATGGAGACTATGAATAGCAAATCAACTCTGGTGAGAATTCCATTTCTGTCCACTTTCCCATGCTTTGTCTGTGCCCTTCCAACAACCAGGCATGGCTGGTCTCACTTGTTGTGGTGCTCCTCCCGTGGGGGACATCTCCTCAGACAGGCTTTCCTGATGCTGCTGTCTGTCAGGAGAGGTCATAGCAGGCAGGAAGTGTGCTACTGAAGGACAGGGAGTCAGGCCTCTGGCTTGGAATTCTATCATAAAGGAGGCCGTAGAGAGAAGCAGTCACTGACCAGCATTGCTTTAGACCATATGATAGTATCACGCGACTGACATAACAGTGTCATGAGATCCCCCCACACATACACCTTCTTAAGAAGTGCCACCGTAAGGACAAAAAGATGTGTGGAATGTTTTGAGGTGTCATAGATACCTTTAGGAATCTGATTAAAATAATAAGCTCTTGCCCCCCCCCCCGCCCCCAAATGACATACATTCCAAGAATTTATAGACACATTCAGAAGCTGAGATGAAGCGCATTGGGGCTAAACTCCCCAGTTTTGCTGGGATCACACTGTATTGGCAGTCCAAGAAACCCTTTATAAGGAACCATGTGGCCCACACACTCGTACTTCCTGCCATGGCAGTCAGCTACTATGGACCCTTGTCTGAAAGCACTTCATGGAACTTTATCATTCTGGCAGAGGCTGACTGGCCGTATATCACCACAAGTGCACGATCGCTAGAGAGGGGACCCCTTTTTTTTTTAAAGCAAAATTGTCTGAAACTCTGTAAATGTTTAGAGGTACAGGGAGTTTACTTTACTGTAACTGTGATTAAGACAAAGTGCAAAGAGCACCAGAGGCTATAATTCAAAATGTCACACTAGCTTAGGTCTATGACTGATGGGAAAAATGGGGCAGAGGTAGGAAGGAAGAGAAGGAAGGGAGGAAGGGATAAATGGAGGCAATTAATTTCAAGTACCCCGAAGTAGTGGAATCATAAAATTCCATAACTCCGTCTTTTCTTCCGTGACCCTACCATGAGTCACGATGAATTTCTGTCTACTACAATTTCCCTGTAAGCATCAACCACCATTTTCAGTCTTCTGCGAGGTAAAAAATTCCAAAGGGAAAGCAAGCTAACTTAATTTTCCTGTTTTTAAAAATATCTGACCCTTCCTACAATATAACTCAAAATACAAACCACTATGAAATTCAGTTCTCTACAGTAAACCTAGTTTTTCAAAACAAATAAGCAAATAGTTCTTACCCTCAAGCTTACAGTATTAGTCTTTAAATACAAAGTACTTAAATTCTTCTCTAACTCATTTTAACAAGAATACTGTAATTGTATCACCTGAGATTCTTAAGGCCCTTCAGTGTTTTATGTGAGAGAGGCATCAGAATTTCCATAAAGGTCAAGTGCTGGGTCTCAGTCATGTACCATCAGTAGAGTCACATCTGTGGGGTTAATGCTTTAAAAAGATTATAGCCATGAAATCCATACCTCTCATTAGCTTACTTTGCACCATATATATATATATATATATATATATATATATAATTTGTATACTATGCTGAAATTCTGCATAGAAGATCAGCATAAGGAACTTAAACTAAGCTATAACTGTAGTGTCCATGTATCTGCACAGCAGAACTTTTAAGGAATAGAAATAGAAAAGATAAACCATAATATCCTTATCCAACTCCACTCTTGACCCGAAGTCATTAGAACAAAATTTAGAAAATTCAAGGGCAATGGCGGTCAGGAATAAGAAAAGTGCTTAATGATTTTACTAAGAAATAGCTATTAACCACCAAAACTTAGGAAATTATACCTGTGTATATAATTCAGTTGGTTATTAGAGTGTTTATTTGGCCTTATCAAAAAGACCAGATATCATAGATTTATAGAAATTACTACTTGGCAAAATATTTGTCTATCAGATACAAAAATTCACCAGCTCAACCTTAACTGATAAATACCTCATCTGTATGTATCAATAATCCTGCTGCTCCCAAATATTTTGTGACTGAGAGAAGTTAGAATGGCAGTTTAAAGGATGCTACCCTGAAGACCTTACAGGCTGGGGATGTGGATGGAAAAGGGATTCCTGTTGCTAAAACCAGTAATCTTGCAAAAAGAAGGGGCTATTTGAGTTACATAAATATGCATGGACTGCTGTCCCACCATTTGTGATTCCTGTAGATATAATCATTATGCTATTGAGTTCCCTGGTTGCTTGGGTATGACTTCTATCTGTATTTTCACTCGATTTTGGCAAAGTCTTTTTGTTGCTGTCAGAACCCCATTTTCTCATATCAAAATCAGACCTATGACGAGAACATCTGTACCTGTTTCCCTTGGCCTTCTCTCATTTCCTTGAAAACATGTTGAGAAAAAGAAAAAGGAAGCACGTGTAATGAAACTACATGAAATTGGCTGATTTCTAGTTCAAGTTTCATAATTATGGAATACTTATAAAACACTAATAATTTTGAGTAAATGGACTAGTGAACAAGCCCTATATATAATAAATACTTTTAAAAGAGACCTAGAGATAAAATTAGAATGTGCTTGATTCCATCTGGGAATAATCATTCAATTAAAAAATAAACACTTTGGGGGCACCTGGGTGGCTCAGTCAGTTAAGCATCAGACTTCATCTCAGGTCATGATCTCCTGGTTCATGAGTTCGAGCCCCACATCAGGCTCTGTGCTGACACCTCAGAGCCTGGAACCTGCTTCACATTCTATGCCTCCCTCTCTCTCTGCCCCTCCCCTGCTCACTCACTCTCTCTCTCTGTCTCTCTCTCAGAAATAAATAAAAAAACATTTTTAAAAATTTAGAAAAATAAACACTTACCTAAATTACTTGTTAAAACAACAACAAAAAGAGCATGTATAAGTCATACAGGGAGCACAGAAGTTTACAAGTTTATTCTGTTTTTTTTCTGTGTACCTACTTATTTTAGAAAATTTATTAAAGTTAGAAATAATCAGAGAAGATTTAACATAATAAGCCTAACACCCAAAACTAACAGCTGAGAATAATTTGATGTATAATAAATTACAATAACTTCATATTTCATGCGTGTAGTTTTAACTATTCTTGAGCAACCCTAAGATCCTTGACTTATTATCGGTTATAATTTTTGCTGATACAATCATGAGCCCAGTTCTGAGTCTGATCTGAAACGAGTGAACCTTGTAGCTAGTGATTGTAGCAGTTCAGCGTCCTGTCTTCATTGTGGCCCTGTGCTGTACTCCTGTATAAGCAATAACTAACAAATTTACACTTCACTGCATGTGGCAGAAATGACAGTCTATAGAAATACTCACGCATTTGGGGATTCGAGTTTTACTTATGAATGTTAATTTCTGTATTTCCTCCCCCATCTCTTTTTGTCTTTCAGTCTTTTAATAGCAAAATGTATTTTTTATCTTAAGAGATAGATTTGTACTTGAAAACCATCAGCTTCCAGAGGTATTTTTACAATAGAAAAACCTTTCCTTCCTGCCCCTACATGGGCAGGTCGATTTTCATTGAAAACGGCTTCAAGCTGGTTCTAATATTTACTCACTTATGCAGGTGCGTTCGTCAGCATGGAGTCTGTATCCCGTATCACATTCACAGTGGAAGGTGCCCAGAGTGTTAATATAGCGCTGCTGGCAGCCTCCATTCACCACCGCACATTCATCGACATCTAGAGGAGAAAGACAGATGGCCAGGATTACAATGTCATTCCAATGTCAGCTTCGGAGAAGTGGCACAATATTTCTTTGATACACAGTATGTGTTATATTGTACAAAGGCACTGTCTCTGTTGCCACAAATCTTTGCTTGTTTGATCCATTTTGCTCCACAGTGTAAACAAGAAAATGTAGATAGAAACTTTATTGAGCTTTTTAAAGCCCAGCAACGATGAGCATAGGGATTGTCTCACAGTTTTCTATTCTTCACATACTAGTTAATTAGACAGATCTGAGATATAGATATTTCCTTGGGGAAGGAAAACCGGAGGGGAGAATTTCAATGAGCTACTCTATCTGGAGCAGCACGCACTAGTAGATAAACACCTATTATTGGTCTGATGCTGCTGAATAAAGCCAATAATAGAGTTAAGACCTTGAATCTCCTTCTCATGTGCTATGGTGGACATCAAGGCAAAGATAGATAAATTCAAGTAAAACCATGGTTTGGAGTTCTTAAAAATGCATCAATACATTTGATCCATTGATTCAGCTTTTTCCTTGTCACTCAGGTTTCCATTTTCTGAAATGCTTAGCATGTTTATATGAGAGTTTAATTTTCGAAGAAATGAAAAGAGATCAAGACTCATGGTCACCTATGTCTTATGACCAGTCAAGGTCATGATAAATTAATGTCATATTCACCTTTCTTTAGGAAAGGAAAATAAATTCATCTCTCAGAATGTCTACTTCCTTATACCCTAGGTAAATCAGCACTTATGCATCTAAAATCATGAAGAGAAGATATCCACAAATGTAGGGAAAACCTTTGAGGTAATCAGTGGATAAAGGGCTTCTAAATTTTTCTTGTTTGGAGAATACTCTTTACTTGAAATCTATGCCTGTTGGCAAGTGTCAAAGTAAAAATCAGGCAGAGGTGGACATTTAACACGGGCAAGCATGTGTATCAGGCAGGAAACGTCGCTGACTTCCCATGTCGTCAATTCCAGATATTCTGTCAAAGAATGTTGGGTATGAATATTCGCCACTAAAATATGTTATCATGATAGACAATTTGCTTTACATTGAGTGAGATTAAGTCCATTGGGGCAAAATCCTTACTTGAGAAGTCATCAACATTGACAAGGAATACTACTGTAGTGCTCCATCGCAGGATTTTTCTCATATTAAAACTATCTGATCTGTAAAAAATGTTTCGTATGTTTACAGAGCTTGACCTGAGGGAAACAAAGGAATTTTCTTTCACTTGGCATTGTTGTATGTCTGTGTGTGAAAAAGAAAAAAATATATACATATGTCTATGTCTGAAAATATATTAAGTCACAAAGTAAATCCCACATTTTAAAATTATTTGTTCACCGTATTATACACATTGTATACAATCTAGTATTTTCCTTCTAAATTTAGATATTCTGGAGTAATTTCTGATATTATTAAAGGAATCTTATTTTAGATATAAGAACTACTAACTTCAAAGTATTAGAAGTTTTATTAAATTGTGAGTGTGATAAATAAACCTGTAAATCTTTTTAATATAAACTAATTTCAATTCAGAATTCTCCATTTGTTATTTGTACTTTATACAGGACTTTAACATTTATGCTAGCTAAATTTTTATCTCTCTAGCTTTAGGATATTATTCCACAGGGTTGAGATATAATTCCGAATTTTAATTCTGTCGACCCCTGAGTTAGATATCCTTCCCAGGTCTTTTACTTTAGATGTACAAATAAAACTCTTAGTTTCCAAGAATCCTATGTTTTATATGAAAAAAACATAAAAAGGGGCACTTGGGTGGCTCAGTTGGTTGGGCGTCCGACTTCAGCTCAAGTCATGATCTCACAGTTCATGGGTTTGAGTCCCATGTCGGGCTCTGTGCTGACAGTCCAGAGCCTGGAACCTGCTTTGGATTCTGTGTCTCCCTCTCTCTCTGCCCCTCCCCCACTCTCACTATGTCTCTCAGGAATGAATAAACATTAAAAAAATTTTTTAAAAACATAAAAAAATTCTATAAAAATTATGATAATATACTGTATATATGTATTAAAGACATTAAAAATATCTTTAAGGGTGTGCACAAATAAAAACGATTACTTCCAGGGAGGAAAGAGAGGCACCTAGATTGGGTGGAGTGCATGATGTGTGTGTGCGAGGGTGTTGGAAAAAGAGATTTTATCCATATCTCCAACATTCTAATTTTTTATAAAAAAAATTTATTCTGGTATTAGTTGTACATTAAAATGTCGTTTTCTTTTTTATTTTTTTTAATGTTTATTTATTTTGAGAGAGACAGTGCACACCCACACACATGTACAAGCATATGCACAGGAGAGGGGCAGAGAGAGAGAGAGAGAGAGAGAGAGAGAGAGAGAGAGAGATGCTCAAGCAGGCTCTGTGCTACCCATGTAGGGCCCAACGCGGGTCTTGATTTCATGAAACATGAGATCATGACATGAGCCTAAATCACGAGTCAGATGCTTAGCCAAGTGAGCCACCCAGGTGCCCCTCCTGTTTTTCTTTGTAAATAAACTATAATTGACACACAATGTTACACTAGTTTCAGATGTATAACATACAGATTAGACAAGTCTATATGTTGTGCTATCCTCACCATAAGTGTAGCTACTACCCTCTGTCAGCATGTAACCCTGCTACGGTATCATTGACTATATTCCTTATGCTGTACCTCTTCTTCCTAGGTCATCTTCATTCCAGAACTGGAAGCCTGTATCATCTACTCCTCTCACCCATTTTGTCCATCCCTCCACTCCCCTTTCCACTGGCAACTATCAATTTGGTCTCTATATTTATGGGTCTGTTTCGGCTTTTTGTTTGTTTGTTCATTAGTTTTGTTTTTTAGATACCACGTATAAGTGAAATCAGAGCATGTGTTTGACTTATTTCACTTAGCATAAGATGTAATTTTAAAGAAGTATAATATGACCACCTCCCTTTGCCCCTATTCATCAAACTTCATTAATTTCTAACAGAAGAAAGCAAATTGATTTAAAAAAGAATAATCATTGAATGTATTCCAAAGAGAAGAGTGGACATCAATTTTGAGAGGGAGTTTTCTTTCGGAATGTTTTGGTGTGGGGTGCCTGGGTGGCTCAGTTAAGCAGCCGACTTCAGCTCAGGTCATGATCTCACAGTTTGTAAGTTCGAGCCCCATGTCGGGCTCTGTGCTGACAGCTCAGAGCCTGGCACCTGCTTCGGATTCTTTGTCTCCCTCTCTCTCTGCCCCTCCCCCACTTGTGCTCTGCCTCTCTCTGTCTCTCAAAAATAAAAATAAAAATAAAAATAAAATGAATGTTTTGGTGTATTCGTATTCTAACTTTGCCCTGGGACTATTGTTGAAGTACTATAACATATTAAATACACACATATACATGAAAGCAATCAAACTGCCCCTGTACTTTGAGTTAAATAATCTTGGGGAAAATATCTTACTGTTGAAACTTACTAGCCTGTCACCTTGCTCTCTGAGACTCCATTTGCTCACCTATAAAATGGGATTATAATGACTGCCATATGTACTATGCCATGATTTCTTTTTCCCTTCCCTATTCATGCATAACATTTTGAAATAGATTGCTAATGACTGAGATTATATATAGAAATTAAACAACAGGTAATTTGATTCCACTAAATAGTGGAGCTAGCAATGTAAGACTATACAGTGAGAATGCATGACAGACACAGTAAATAACATGGGGATTCAGAGGAAACAAATTCATTTGGGGCTAGAGAGACAAGGGAATATTATAGGGTAAAACACTGAACACTGAGTGCATGGAGAAGAGGGTGGGTAATCCAAAGGTGCAGGGGTTTGCATGTGAACAGTGTCTGAGATCCAGCATTTAGATCTGTCAGGCTGGAAAGCAAGGCTGACAAAGGGAAGCAAAGTTGAGAAACAAACCTAAAACTCCTTTTAATTGATTTGGCAAAGTGTTCTTCTTCTTGATTTACAATACAATACACTTCTAGGCAGGTTGAGACATAATAGGCTGTGTTCACACAGGAGCTAAGCAAACTTATTAACAGTTAAAAAAAAAATCAATCATTTATAGAGTAGTACCAAATACAAAGTAGGTGGTTTCACTTCCTTTTTCTGCCTTTTCAGAATACATTGAATTTACTGATTGTTTGGGCATTGTGTAACTAATAGTTCTCACGCTTTGCAGCATATTAGAATCATTTGGGGGGCATGTAAAAATACTCATGCCCTGGTTCTACCCTTAAAGAGTCTTGTTTAATTGGTCCGGGGTAAGGCCTGGGAATAAAACATTTTAAAAGCACCCCATGGGGCGCCTGGGTGGCGCAGTCGGTTAAGCGTCCGACTTCAGCCAGGTCACGATCTTGCGGTCCGTGAGTTCGAGCCCCGCGTCAGGCTCTGGGCTGATGGCTCGGAGCCTGGAGCCTGTTTCCGATTCTGTGTCTCCCTCTCTCTCTGCCCCTCCCCCGTTCATGCTCTGTCTCTCTCTGTCCCAAAAAATAAATAAATGTTGAAAAAAAAAATTTAAAAGCACCCCAACTGATGCTAATGTGTAGCCAGAGTTGAAATCCCCTGATGTAGTTAATGCTTTAAGCACCCAGGGGGTCTTGTTGAAGTGCAGACACTGACTCAGTAGATCTGGAGCCTAGGGGCTGAGATTCTGCAGTTCTACCTAGACCCAAGGCATTCTGATGCTGCTGGCCTGTGGACTGTACTCTCAGAAGCAAGAGTGTAGACAGTCCAATGTTCAAGTATAAATGGATCACATAAATGGATCACAAATGTCATGACTTGGTTCACCTTTTCAATTGTTTGATCAAAGACCAGTTTAGTACAAATGGGTAAATCAATACTCTGACCAATATTATACGTATTTTTCTATTTTTCTATATATATTATATAATATATACACATTTTTATGTATACTCTATATTTTTAATGATTTATATTTTGTCTACCAAAAACCTCTGAAAATAAACCACCAATATTGCCCACAAT